TTTTTAACTTTATTTTTATTCAACCTTACCTGAGGATATTTTTCCATTGAGTTTTAGAGAGAGTGGAAGGGAGGGGGAGAAACAGAGAGAGAGAGAAAAGTCAATGTGAGAGAGACATATCGATTGGTTACCTACCCCATGCGCCCTGACCAGGGCTGGGGTTTGAGCCTACAATGAAGATACGTTTCCTTGACCAGAATTGAACCCAGTGCTCTTCAGTCAGAGGGCTGGTGCTCTAATCACTGAGAGAACTGGCTCGGGCAGGATTTTTATTTAAATTGAATTAATATTGTAGATTAATTATGGGAGAATAACATTTTTCACAATAATGAGTCCTTTTACCCAAGACCATAGCATGTTTGTATCTTTATTGCAATCATTTCTTTCAATAATGATTATTTAATGTTTATATTTTTAAATTTTCATACTGGCAATTGATCTTACTGTGTAGACTATACATTTTTTAATTGAGAAAATAATCTATATAGCTAAAATATTTGATAATTCCAAAGTTTGGTTTAACTTTTTTGTTGAAATAGGTAACCTATTTCATCCCATATATTTTTATAGATATTGTAGATACTGTCTTTTTCTTGAATAAGAGTACTGTTTAGCAACAAATATGCTTATGGGACACTACTCAATCAAAGTAGTTGCTTCTATTTAGGAATATTTTAAAATTCTTTGCTAATTTAGATGTTAGAAAATGTGTCATCTTAATTTCATTTCATTTTAATATGTTACCTAATTAAAAACAAGCAATACATCAATAAAATCGTCCCTTAAGCTAATGTATTCCATAGCACAATTCTTTAATTTAAAATATAAATGTATTATTTAAGACCTCATTGTTTCTCCCTTTCTATTGTAGGCATTAATCTCAATGTGTTCCTGTTTAGAAACTTCATTTTAATAAATCCTATTTGCTAAAAAACTTTAGAATCTAAAATTTTAGTGGTCCATATATAAAATAATTTTGATTAAATATTTCCAACCTATTTTGAACAATGCAACCAAAATTTAGAGAACCCGTGTACCAAAAGTTCAATAGCATTACAGAATATAATCAGAATATTCATAAATATATCTGGAACTCATCATTGTTATAAAATGATGAGTTCCAGAATATTTACAAATAGTTCTTTAAATAGTCAAACTTTTAAAAAAATTAACTAATGACAAGCAGTAAATAGAGAAAACATGTTGTGTCATGATGAGATATAATTTTAATTTAACATCAGCTTTGTTGCACACAAAAATTATAGTTTATTTACTCTGTATTTACATTAAAAAGTTGTAAATTTTAACAGCTACAGCTTCTCTTCAATTGATAGAATGTAACAGAGTTTATGAATATAAAATAAGTCAAATGTATCACAACTAATTCCAAAAATATTGCAGCTCCATAGTTTTTTTTTTAATTTACAAGGAACATAGTTTGTAACACAGTGATGAGTTCCAACAAACATTTTACGCAGCTCCATCACAAATAAATGACATTTATTTTCAATGTTGAACTTCTTAAATGAATTTAAGAGACACTTTACAATAGGATTTACAAGGGCATCGGGTATTTTATCTTCAACAAATGCAATTCCAAAAGCGTACTTGGATTAAAGATTTGAATTTAAAAATTAAACTCATTTAAAATTAATTTAGCCAACTTTCTCTCTGAAGCAGAGAATGAGACTAATCTTATTTAATTGCATGCAAATTTTCTGTTATGCACTTTTCCAAGAAAACTTTATATCAAATAAGTCTAATTAGCATATTATGCTTTCATTATTATAGATATGTAAATGCTCCCCATGCAAATGCACATATCCAATTATCATCTTTGGGCAGTGTTCTTTAAAGGACTGTAAATTCTGAAATAAATGTTGATGTATTTTCAGCTCATCTGTGTCTTTTGGCTTTTACGTGGATAATGCTATCCATGTAGCCCCCTTTCATGAATGTTAAATGTTCAAGTTGCACATTCACCATCAACTTTCTTGTGAAATGTAAACTCAGTGCTTAATTTTTAAATAAATATGACCCTTCATGTCTTTTAGCCCATTGCTGCCTGAAGGGTTTTTTTTTACAAAAATGTGTGTTGCCAATCATAAAATAAATACATGTTTGTTGATCTCAAAGCATTTGGATTACTTTATATAGGGTCCATGGCAGCACTACTCAGCCTTCACTTACAACTAACGTAATTTTCCACAACACTGTCACTTACGGATACTTCACAGATGTCTCAGTTTTGTACACCAAGTGGCCAGCAGGGGGAACAAAGTTGAAAACTTCTGCCACTAGTCAGATCAAGAGTTAGCTGCCCGGAAAATGATGTTAGTTTCTTTGTTATTTAAAGGGTCTGGTAACGACATATGGACCATTGTTGATATTGGCTGTTTTATAACATTTAAACATTAAAGTAGTCTCAGACTCTTTTATACCATGGGAGAATCTAGAAGTAAAATTGAAGATCTATCAAACCGATAATGATGTATTTTAAAACAGTGATTAACAGCAATAATACTTAATCTATAAAACACCAAAAAAATTAGAACAAGTGCTAAGTCAGAGAGACCACGAGGAAAGAAGTAATCTAGGGATTACTAACCAGCAAAGATGTCTGGTTAGCCTTCTTATAACCAAGTGGCTTCTGGACAAGAAAAAAAAAGGAAGAAAAAGAGAAATCCTGAAAGACTGAACATTTTCCCTTAAGACTGAGCTCCCAGAAAGAAATTGTCATTTCCAATTGGTCAATTTGAGTTGCTGTCCCTGAAGTACACCTGATCAGATGGAATGGAGGTGTCATATTTAGATGCATTTTCAAGGAGTTGAAAACAAATGCTCTTTTATTTTTCACATCTGAATATGGTAACTATCTATTTTAACCCTGCTACACCTGGATAATCATTACTCATCTCTACAGTCTTCCCTTTAACTTTAGCTGATTCTACCCCTCAGGTTAGGTTGCTCATCAACCTCTCTGCTTATTTCTGTAGGACTCCACAATCTGTCAGTTATCTGTTTTACTGTCAGCTACCACTATACTATGAGCGTCTTGATTGGAGCCAGGTCATTTTATGGTTCTAGCACCTTAACGTACATATGTACTTATATGGAGTGGCACTCAGTAATTATTTGTTAAATTAATGGATCGGTAAAATTGAATCCAGGGCCACAAACTCAATAATATTATTTTTTTTCTTATTTGTAATATTTGAATGTCTTTATTGGTGTGATTTGGTTTGTTAAGTAAACATTATTTTTTACAGCAGTTTTAGTTTCCCAGTTAAACTGATCATAAAATGCAGATTTTCCAATCACATCCCTGCCCCTCACTCAGGCACAGCCTTTCTCAATATCGATACCCCACACCAGAGTGGTACGTTTATTATGATCCATAAGCATACATCAGAGTTTACGCTTGGTGGTGTAAATTCTCTAAGTTTTGGCAAATTTATAATAGCATATATCTATTTATAGTATCAGGCAAACTAGTTTCACTGCCCTAAATGTTCTTTGCCTTCTGCCTATTCTTTCTTTCCTCCCCCTCCCCAAACCCCTGATAACCACTGATTTTTTTTACTGTCCCCATAGCTTGGCCTTTTGCACAATGTCATGTAGCTGTAGCAGGATGTAGCCTTTGTAGATTGGCTTCTTTCACTTGGTAACATGCGTGCCGGTTTACTCCATGTCTTTACCTGGTTTGCTAGTTCATTTCTTTTCAGCACTGGATAATATTCCACTGTCTGAATGTACCACTGAAGAACATCTTGGTTGTTTGCAAGGTTGGGCAATTATGCATAAAGCTGTTATGAATTTGTGTGGACATGTTTTCAACTCATTTGGGTGAATATTAAGGAATGATTACTGTATGTAATGGTAAGCATATGTTTACTGTTGTAAGAAACCTCTAAACTGTTACTCCATCATTTTTGTATTCATACCAGCAATGAAAGAGTTCTTTTGCTCCACATTCTTATCAGTATTTGGTGGTGGTGTTGTTCTGGACTTTGTACATACCAATAGGTGTGTAGTTGTATCAAGCTCCTTCTATAAACCACATACTATTTTAAGTACCGGCAAACATGCCAGTGACCAAAACAGAATAAAGCTTAAATCCTAGGATGCTATGAAGACAGTAAACAAAATTAAAGCTTGATCAACATATACCATTTCAGGCAAAGATAAATTTTATGGGAAAAATAAAGAGGAAAGGGTGACCGTAGACTGATTGGAGGACAAGTATTTTATATGATTGTCAGAGAAGGCTACTCTAGTGACATGAGCTATATAAGCAAAGACTGTGGTATAAGTTATTTGTCTGTGGCTTAGACTGGAAACTGTAAAAATTTCTTTAACATTATATTCTCATTTAAATACACATTTAATTACTTTCTAATTTTGACAAATAATCAAACTTTTTTTTGAAAAGGTTTGTTTGCATTCTTGAGAAGACAAAGAAAAAAATTATCATTTTTTGGCAATGTTCCACTAGGAATATAAATAAGAGGTAATATTTCAGTAAATTAGAATCCTCATTTCAGCACAAATTGGTGAAGGAATTTTCTTTCAGATTATTTTGCTCTGATTTACGAACCTTTTTAAAAAAAAATTCATCTTATCATGTTAAAAACACGTAGCATAATATCTACATTCTTAACAATTTTTTGTGTACAGTAAGGTATGTTGACTGTAAGTATGGTAACAGCAGGTCGCTAGAACTTATTCATCTTGTTTAACTAAAACTTTAAGCTTGTTGACTCATTTATTTCTCTCCAGCCCCTGGCAACCACCATTCCACTCTCTGATTATATGAATTTGACTACTTTAGATACCTCATATAAGTAAAATCGCACAATATTCATCTTTCTATGACTGACTTATTTGAGTTAGTATTATGTCCTCAAAGTTCATCCCTATTATTGCAAAATTAAAAGTAGAACCACCATTTGATCCAGTAATCCCACTTCTGAACATTTATCCAAAATAATTGAAATCAGGTTCACCAAAAAGGACTAAACCGACATACATATTACCAAGTGAAAGAAGCCGATCTACAAAGGCTACTTCCTACTCCGACTACATGTACAAAAGGCATATTAGCCCTCCCATGTTTATTGCAGCACCACTCGAAATAGCCAAGGTACAGAGACAACCTATGAGCCCATTGACAGGTTAATGGATAAAGAAAATGTATATGCATACAAAAGAATGCTATTCAGCCTTTAAAAGAAGGAAATTCTGTAATATGCAAAAAAAAAAAACCCCACACAAAACAATCCATCGTAACAGGCACATATCTTTATTTTCTGACGATGGTAGTTCTTTAAAGGTTAGTTGCATGTGAAATTGGAAACCAAATCAATGAACTCGCTATACTCTTGTAAATTAAAATCCACTTCTCTAATTTGCACTTTGAATGGATCTTTTACCTATGCATGATTCTTTTTATTAACTTCAGAGAGGAAGGGAGAGAGAGAGAGAGATAGAAACGTCAATGATGAGAGAGAATCATTGATCGGCTGCCTCCTGCATGGCCCCCACTGGTGATCGAGCCCACAACCTAGGCATGTGCTCTGACTGGGAATCGAACTGTGAATTCCTGGCTCACAGATTGATGCTCAACCACTGAGCCACACTGGCCGGGCCAGCCTTTCTTGTCTGCGTCCGAGCCTGTGCCCCCCACAGAGGCGAGCTGGTCGGAGGTGGCAGGTCGGGCTAGAGAAGCTGCCGGAGGGGGAGGGAGAATGACCTGTAGACCAGC